AGGCGGTGTGGCCGCGAGGCAGGAGTATTTACTGTTCACCGGCCGTGTCTGTGCTGGATGTGAGTTGGTGTGGCCGCGAGGCACTGTCCACCGGCCGCATGCAGAAATGTGAGCCCAGCTCATGGAGGTTGTAAGGGGCAGAGACTGGTTGGATTTGTCACCAAACACGGCACGTCTGATGAGGTCACTGCGGGGCGTCGGTGGCCTCTCTGTCCCGCCTGGGGCACCGTGAGTCCGGTGGTTAGGCGTGGTCAGCCGGTGTGCGGTGTGCGTGGCTGCTGGTTAAGCCAGTGCTGGGCACCCAGGATGGGCCCTGCAGGGGGTTTGGAGCCCCAGGCCTGGTGAGGGGCAGAGGGCAAAACCCATGGCAGGGAGACCAGGCTCCGGGTGGCCCAGGTCCAGCGCCCATGCCCAGCTCTCACCGTGCGCCTCTGCCCCTGCAGTATCCAGAGGGCTACCTGGAAGCCCTGGCCAACAGGGAGAAGGAGAAGGAGAACCAGCGGCGGGAGGAGGAGAAGCAGGAGGGCTTCGCGTCCCCCCGGAAGGGCAAGGGCAAGGCCAGGTGGAAGCGGAAGTCCACAGGTGGGTGTCCCCGCGCCCGCTGCCCCGGCCGCCCCAGCGTCCGCCCGGCTCCCTCAGCTTCCTCACCACCCCGCTTCCCGCCTGCAGGCGGCCAGGGCAATGGCGGGTCCCCTCGCCGGACCCCCAAGAAGTCCAAAGTGGAGACCTACAGCCTGACGGCCCAGCAGAGCAGCCTCATCAAGGAGGACAAGAGCAATGCCAAGCTGTGGAACGAGATCCTCGGGGCGCTCCAGGACGGGCCGGTGAGCGCCGGGCCCTGCCTACGTGCGGTCCCGGCCCAGCACGCGGCGTATGACCGGGCACTGAGCATGCCCCCAGGGAACGCCCAGGCCCGTCCCTGCCCCAGCCCCCGGCTCCCCCCTCCCTGTCTGGGCACCGCAGTGGCTCCAGGGCCCGTCCTGGCGGGACTCACGCGGGCCTGTGTCCCCAGCTGCAGACCTTCCTGAGCAAGGTGGAGGAGACCTTCCAGTGCATCTGCTGCCAGGAGCTGGTGTTCCGGCCCGTCACCACCGTGTGTCAGCACAACGTGTGCAAGGTGAGGCCGCGCACGCACACGCACACAGCACGCACACGCACACGGCATGCACATGGCACACTCGGCCCATGCCGCCCCCACAGCCCGCTCCTCCGGCTGGCCCGTCCACCTCGTCTGTGCCACCCGGTTCTGCGCTGCAGCCATGCAGGCACACTCACCTGGTTCCTCCCCAGCCGAGAGGCCTGGGGGGGTGGGCTGAGTCCAGGCCGAGGTCTGAATGGGGAGGTGTAAGGTGCACATCCTCTGTAGGGGCAGGAAGGAAGGAGGGCTTCCTGGAGGTGATGGTGTTGACCCCATGCCTGCAGGGGCCTGGATGGGCAGGCAGTCAGAGCAGCCAGGCCTGCGGTGGGCCACGTCTTTTATCCTTTCCTCGTCCCGCGATGGCCACTTGGGTGTCCCACCTCTGGGCTGATGTGGACCGCTCTGCCGTCCAGGGCCTGATTTTGACACATGTCCGGCCGTGGTCCTGATGAGCCGAGAGCATAGCCGTTTCTCTCGGGCTGGGAGCTGTAGACTTCATCTGGAAAAGAGTTCAGGAGTCATTAAGAGCAGGACACGAGTGGGACCAGCAGTGGCGTAATGGCTATGTCGCTGGACTCCCACGTAGTCAACTGCGGTTCAAGTCCCAGACCTGGTGGCTTAAACTCACTGGGCACGTGTGTGTGTGTGCCCAAGATCCCGAGAGGAGAATGGAGGAGGGATTGCGGCGTGCATCTCCGCTGGGGGGTGATTTCTCGCTTTCTGTCTCACTTTCTGGAGAGCGTACGCGCCCTATAGCAAGCGGTTCCCCCCCCAGTAGGAAAAACCTCACAAAAAAAAAAAAAAAAGTTAAAAATGGCCGTGTGAGCTGTGTCATTCCTCCCCGAGGCTCACCAGGGTCTGCCAGACCCTGGGACTTGAGTTCTCTTCCCCATCGGCTTTCTCTTCCTGAACCTAGAAACCCACCTGTGCTGTCAGACGTGGTTCCTCCCATCCCCCACCCTCCCCACCGCCCTTGTGAGCCAGAGCTTCCCTGAGCGCTGCTGCTCCTGCGCCCTGGGCGAAAGTTGGAGGGATAGTAAGGCATGCCCCGGGCTCTTAGAAGTGTCCGCCCGTCCCTAAGCGCGTTAGGAAGCAGGACGGTTCCAGAAGGCGAAGGCGCCAGGGAGGTAACGGGTGGGGGATGGGGCCACTTCTGGAATCTGAGCCGGCAGGGAAGACCCGTTGGCGGGGAGGAGGTAACTTCGGAGCCGGTGCACAGGGGTGAGGCTGGACGCGCAGAGTCCGGGAGGAGCTCTGGGGAGACCAGGCTGGTGGCGGGCGGAAGTGGCATTCGGGCATGCCGCGTCGCTCAGGTTAAGCGCTGCAGAGGAAGCTGGAGAAACACGCCAGGTGTGCGTGTGTGCCCAGGAGTGGCAGGGCGGGGAGACGGGACAGGATGTGGAGCCACCAGGCCGCATGGGAGGGCCCCTCTGCCTCTCTCGGTCTCGTGTGCGCGTGTGCCCACTGCACTCAAAAAGGAGAGGAGGTGAGATCAGGTACGGGACTCTGTCTCCGGGCGCAGGGACTTCGTGCCCCGGCGGAGCGCCGCGCAGGCGCCCTCCGTCCTCAGCTGCCCCCGCCCTGTCTTGCAGGATTGCCTGGACCGATCGTTCCGCGCGCAGGTGTTCAGCTGCCCCCCCTGCCGCTACGACCTGGGCCGGGGCTACGCCATGCAGGTGAACCAGGCGCTGCAGACCGTCCTCGGCCAGCTCTTCCCCGGCTACGGCAACGGCCGGTGATCCCCAAGCACTTCCGCGGCCAAGGCTCCTTCCCGGGCCCTGCTTGTGTCCGTAGTGGGCTAACTTAAACATGTAGTGTTCCCTCCGCCCCCAAAGTGCCCGTTTTCCTTTTTTTTTTTTTTTTTTTTTTTTTTATCTATACAGTTTCAGGAATTGATGTGTTCTGGATGAAAGTTGGACTTCTCCGTTTGGTTGTGTTTTTTAAAAATATAAAGCCTGCAATTTACAAAAAAAAAAAAAAAAAGACAAAAAAAAAAGAAAAAGAGGTTTTGAAGATGGAATTAGGAGCTACTTTTGCATCCAAAAGCTGCTTACATTTCTGACATCGAGTTCTCAGAAGTTCCCGCGACGGACCAGTAGGAAGCTGTCCCGGCCTGGACGGAGCCTCCCACGGTCCTGGCCTTTGGCCCCCAAGCTCACAGCAAGAGCATCTTCCCCATGGCGACGGGGTGTCACCGATGGCATGTCACCGGATAACACCCAAGGTGGCCCTGGGCGGCGCCGCCAAGAAGTTGAAAAGATAAGGGGAAAAAAAATAATCTCCTCCCGGCTCGGTTTCAACTCGCCTCCCAGCCGTCTCCCACCGGCCACCCTGGTGTCCGAGATCCCATGGGAGCCAAGTCGGGGCCTTCCAGAAACTACCTCTGCCGAACTTGAGTCCACGTGGGGGCCGAGCGCGCCGAGCCGCGGCCGCACTCGCCAGCGAGCGCACGAAGCCATATTCCGGTGCCTTCCGTGTCTGTCCTGCACTGATCCGCTAAAAAGGCCAAGCAGATTCCGCAATCCGCGGCCACCCAGCTCTTCCCAGCTCTTCCCGAGGCGCTGGGTGGGCGTTTGGGCATGGTTTGAGTTTTATCGATCATTTAAAAGCAATTATTTTAACTCGGCCATTGAGAATTACAATAAGGAATTTTTTTTTTTTTTCTAAAGAACACTTTTTCTAAATGAATTTTTTTTGTAGTTACTGTATATGTACCAACAAAGATATAACTTAGGGTTTTTTGTTTTTGGGTTTTGTTTTTGTTGGGGGGATGATTTGTTCATTTTTCTAACTTTACCAAAGTTTGCAGCTTATACCTCAACAGGACAGGGATATTTTAAACCACATAACTGCAGACGGACTGAAGCAATACTGCTTTTAAAGGTTTTTAAAAAATGTTTTTCCTCCTTGATTATTAGATCATTGTTTTAGGGAAGAAATGACAAAACCCCGTGTAGGCTTTCTCTGAAGTTCGATATTTCTGGTCCAGATTTTAGATTTTCAGAATAAATGTTTCTCACAGATGCGTTGGCTTGTGTCTTCTGCTGGCCAGCTGTTCTGCAGCTGTCTGTGTATTGTCATACCTGTTATTTCGTGTTTTCTCTTCACAAAAATCCCTAAGAAAGGGGCCAGCAGGTGGCACGGTGGTTAGAGCGCTGGGCACTTCCATATGGCCGATCATGGTTCAAGTCCCAGGCCTAGCGACTTGCTTTGTCACTTTCCCTCTCTGTCCGGTCAAATTCAAGTAATTGAATGAAGAAATCAAATTAAATAAATAATTCTTATTAAAAAAATCCCTAGGAAATAGCTAAGGCAGGCAACTTCATCCCCAGTCTATAGGGAAGAAAACAGACCCGGAGGTTCATGGTGGTGTGCCAAGTTTTTCAGGGTAGCTAAGGAGGCTCCCCCCAACCCTCCACCCCCCAGAAGGCTAGTGTGGAGAGAGAAAAAGGAAAGTGAGAAAGCCACCCCCATAGGGATGGTCACGCAGCAATCCCTTCACTTCTTTCCCCTCTTTCAGGATTTTGGGCATATGAGCACACGTGCCTGGCGTGTTTCTCCCACCGGGTCTGGGACTCGAACTGCACCGTTGGCCATGTGTCATCCAGTGTCCGGAAGCACCACCCAGCAAGCTGGCCCCCTCTCTATTGAGCAGGGCTCAGTGAACCGTAGCCTCAGAGCCAAAGCAGACCCTGCCTGTTTTTGTGAATAGTTTTACTGATTGACACAGAAACACGTCCCTGGGCCTTGCAGGGGTACGGTGGTGTTGGCTGTGTAAGAACTTAGGAGGTAAAACAAGCCCCCTGGCCCCGAGAGCTGAAAACCTGCGCTCCCTGGCCCTCGTTCAAGGACTCGGTGGAACGTTCTGTGCAGTCGGAAGGGTCCTGTCTGCGCCGTCCATGTGGCAAGCAGCCACGGTCCTGGACAGGGCGGCGGCACCAGCTGGCAGAGAACGGGGGTGGGTAACATCTAGGGGGTGGGTATATCTGCCTTCTCCGAGGGGGACCCTGTAAAAGCCGCCTACTGAGGACCTGGCAGGACCCATGAGTCACTAAAGGGGTGGGAACCGTGCCCAGGGGTCCTGCGCTGTGTCCTGTGATGTTAGGCAGGGTGACCTGCGGCAGAGCCCTGGGGCCAGCTCCCACGCTTCAGGGGGGGGTCAGGCCTGGAAAGGTGCTGACCCCCCCCCTATTTTTTTGAGAGGCTTTTGCTTTAGGGCATGTGCGCTTGCCGGAAAGACAGACAGACAGAAAGTGAGAAATCACCCTCTAAGGGGGATGGCCACGTGGCAATCCCTTCTCCTCCAGTCTCCCCTTGGGATCTTGGGCACGCATGCACACGCACCCTGCATGAGTTTCGAGCTGTGGGGTCTGGGATTCGAACCATGGTCTGCCGTGTGGAAATCCAGCAACAAAACCATTTTGCCATCTGTTGGTCCCAGGCCTTGTATTTATGAAAATTTATGAAAATATTATCCTAAGGGAGAGAAGTCAGTCACAGAAGGTCACGTATGATTCTGTTTCTACCAAGCGCCCAGTGCAGACGTCAGCAGAGGTGCTTCTTGCTTCACGTGTGTGTGTGTGTGTGTGCGTGTGTGTGAAATCCACGGCTGCAGTTGGGATGCTCTATCATTGTGATCAAATTCCATTCTTCCCTCCCCTTAGGGGACTCCCTGAGTATGATTGCTATTTCCTATTTTTAAAATGAAATTTTAGTCCACAAGGAATATATAAATACAGTCCCACAGGCATCTTAAACATACAGAATACGGCCCCATAAGAATCAGGAACACCCAGAGCACATTCCAGTCCCCAAAGAGGACTCTTTATCAACTTCGGTCTCTTCTTTTCTTTCCCCAAAGGCTAAGTTTGTTTTCTAGGCGCGGGGTGGTCTTTTCTGGGCATCGATATTCACCTGCACCCCTAGAGGCTGGCCCGCACTGTTTCCTGTGTGTTTGCAATAACGTATCTCACTGGGTACCTATTTCTGAACTCGTCCACAGCTTCTCCATGGTTGGTGATTCTTTTCTTTAAAAACATTTATTTATGTTTCTTTTATTTTGGTGGGTTGTGATTTTGGCCTGAATGCCAGTCAACCATGTAGGATTCCAAAGCCTTAACCATCTTGCCACCTGCTGGCCCAAAGCTAAGGTGTCTTTAGGTACCTCTGCATTTTTGCAACATTCTCAGGAAGTGAAAAGATGGGAGGTGGGTATTATCCTCATATCCACTTCATAGGAGAAACAGGACCAGGGAAGCCACCTTAAGCATGAACCCTGGCTGAGCACTGAGTGCAGGTCCAAAGCACTACACTCGTCCTTCCCATACCTTTCATGGAACTCAGGGATGGTCCCACGATTTTATCAGGAAGATCTTGCCCTTTTGCAAAGGTTTGTTGACTGTAGGAGTGCTTGTTGCCTGACCCTGTATTTCTCCAGTTCTCGGTTTCCTCTTCTGCAAAATAGGTTGGCATTTTTTGCAAGTCGAGGACTTTGCGCCCAATTTCCGGTCACGGGTCTCGAACCTCTCTCTTCTCCACTCCATCCTGGCCGGGTTCTGATGTTGTGCTGGGTATCACGTACTCAGCCGCCGCCGCCTGATAACCAGGGCGGGGCCCAGGGCGACCGGCTGTGATTGCCATCCCTCCCAGCCAGTCAACGCCTCGGGCTGGCCCCCCAAGCCCATACCCGCTTCCCT